GTTTGTAGAATTAATTTTTACAAATGCTACGAGATGGTATTATAACCATCACAATTGTATGATTTGATGTATGAATTATTGTTAGGTAAGAGTTATATATTTTGTGGTGTATTGATGATGATGATGATATATGAGTGAATAATAAATATGATATTTATATCATTTTACTTATGGTTATTTAAGTAAATAAAAAATTGTGGTATAACAAAAATTTATTGTGGTGGTAATATAATTACCCAAAAAATTATGAATAATAATATTTGTACATAACGGAGTTACTTAGTAATTTATATACAGATGAAGTATCAAAAAGATAGTGGAGAAATATTTTTTTTCTATTTAATTGAAAAAATTATGATCTAATCATGTCTCACTGGCTGTAGTTGCAGGCACCAAAAAATAAAACCCATACTCCTCAAATTTACATGTAGTATTGTGGTAAAAATCGTCTCCACGAGGAGTGTCTAGTTTAATTTTATGCTATGTTATCAAGAATGAGGGTTTTGAGTATAATGCGATCAATTTTAAGAAAATAACCAATAACAATGCAAATTAAAGAATTGAATTAAATCAATAGAACAAACCTTGACATAAGTCAATATCCACAATCGAAATTTCACAATTGGTCATTGATTCACGTATGATTATCAATTCATATTTTTAGCATTCATCGTTGGAATTATTTTCCCATCTCTCTTTAATTGTAGTTAATCAAAAAATAAGCAATCCAATCAACCTTAATTATTAAACAATACAAGATAAGCACTAAGGTTTAATTTAATAATAGCCTTAGGAATTAGAGAAATCAATGAAATTAAACAACACAAGCACAAGCGGTTATAATTAATCTAGTAAAATGTTCTTCCTAAAATTTAACAATCTATGACGTAGCAAATCATTTAGTTATAGTTGCTTCACAAGTTAAAGGGATCAAACAACTATGAATTTGATATTAAACTCAACTATAGATTGCAACATATAATAAACTAATAGACCTCATAGCAATTAAACGCAATAATAATAAAAATAAGTACAGAAGAACATCCAATACTTTAAACATGAATTAAACAATGAAAATAATTTAGATCTCACAGTTTGATTTGCCTCGAGGGTTCAATTTCCCTTGACCAAGTACAAGAAATTAGCCACACATGAAAATTGAAAGTTTCAAAGAGAGGAAGAGAAGATGGGAGATTGTTTTGCGTCTTTTGGACGGTTTTAAGGTTTTTAAATGCGTTCCTAATTTGTTTCCGGAAAAGTTCTGATCAAATAAGGAAACCAAAAATTTTCATCTGCAATTGTACTATGTGACTGTACAGTACGAACGAATGCGATTGCATAGTTCATTGGCCTTCAATTATTTGAAACGCATATATGCGACCGCATAGACTTTTCTACTATGCAACCGCATAGTAGTGAAAAACTTTCAAAAGTTACATTTTAGTCCTTGAACTTGTTTTCACATTTCTTGACTTCTTTTCTTGTTTCTTCTTCTTACAACACTTCTTGTTTTCAACAAATTGGTCATTTTTTGCTTGTTTCTTCTAAATTCCGTTATATTAATCCAATTACAACCTAAATCAAAGTATAAGAATAATGAGTACATCTAGATATCAATTAATCACAAAAGCACAGTATAGAGGGATGAAAAATATAACATTTCACATTTCTCATCACTCACCATATTGCGTATGTAAACCATTATATATCTATATAACACAGCTGAAAAATTATTGAATAATAAACTCTTGAATATAGATTAAGCCCCCGTTTGCAACCCCCCCCCCCAATTTTTCAAATTAAAATGGGTGTAATAGTATTTTTTGGGCAAGTGAGTAGTTGAAAAAGAAGCAAAAGTTTTCGATTTACGTGTGATATTATTTTATGAAAAATTGTATGAATGAAAATAGTAGAGAAAAAAATGAAATTTAGTTTAAAGGGGACCAAACGAGGGATAAATTGTTTCTAAGAAATCACTACTAAATATCATTTGAAATTGAATCTCTCGTAAATGTTCAAAATCAATATTTAAAAATAAAAAATAAAAAAAATCTCATAATCGGTACTCGAAACTCCCAAGCATGGGTCAGTGTCTATTCCGAATACATCATACTGATCTTCAATTCATAATAAATATTTTTTTTAACATGAGAAAGAAATAAAAAAGGAGTTAATTGTTTCAATAATTACTAAACTTATGTTCGTGTCTTTGAATTCTTACTAAAGATTTAGATGTTGAGTTTTGGCAATTAAACATATCAAATTGTTGTATGTTACTCATTGGCATGACATCCGTTTAACAAGTTTAATGAAATTGATGATATAGCGGAATGAGTACGCATGTGACACTAAAACACCATTACGTGACCAATCATGGCACTCCAAATTGTCATGTAAGAAATGCATCTTTAATTTCTCATTATATTTCTTAAGACATATTTGATTGCTAATAATACTTTTAAAAACGTCTTTGATTACTCACTATATTTTAAGGTGATCAAATTTTGGCCACTAAGCTTGTAAAATTGACTTTGTCATGTCCTGAAAATTTAAGAAATTTTGTTGCGAGCATCACTTACCTAAAATGAAATTTAATTTTATAGTGTGTTACAAGTGAATGTTTCAAAATATTTTGCAATATAGTGAATATATAATCAAATAAACGCTTTAGAGTGGTTTGTATTGGAACAATTATGAAGTTCTATGAATTTATTGAGACCTTTAAACATGGGCAAACGAGTTTAGACTTCGGGCTCCATTATTCAAAAAATACATTTTTTTAAAATTAATTTTCAATCACACATTCTCCAACAAAAATAATATGAATGATGTTAATTGTATATAATTGAGTTATATGATGGTTTATATACAAATTTTGTGTCAACAAGATAGTGTAGAAGTTTTTTTTTATTTGTCGGAAAAATTCTAACCCAATCATATCTCATCACATAATATGTATATAAACTATTATGTACATATAGAAAATCGTAGTAAAGTTACATGTAAATTAAAAAATATATTTTTAATTACGTATTCTTAAAAAATCACTATTTCAAAATGTATTTTATTAAAAAATTTAATTTTCATAAGTCCAAGCAAAATTTTAGGTGGCCTCCATTAAAATTTACTCTTAAACAAGAAAAAGAAACAAAGAAAAGAAAAAGGACAATGTTATATCATCTTGCCCCTGTTTGAAGGAAGGAATAATCCTCTCATCCAAGGCCTATGTGGGCCATGGATTTCCACGGCGCCAATAGGGGCGGAAGAAAAGGGGCGTTGGGAGGGGTGGGGGGGCACATAGGCCTCTAGCACTGCTGTTGGAGGAAATTCTTAGAGCAAAAAATTTTATTTTATTTTTATTTTTTTAACCTTTGGCCTCCCATTTTCAGCTGTCTTTGTTGACCATAACTCTCCAGTTGGGTTCCAACCGATCAAAAAAATTGATTTTATTTTTTTTTATTTTTTATTTTTTTGGGTGTGCGCGTGGAAAAGTTGCTCCAAACAGGGACAAGACTCCACAAAGTCTATGCACAATATAATGAAACAAAAATGTTAAACCTACAAAAGGTTATTCTTCCCAGCCAATTGGCTCGACACCAATTTGGAAATAATGTACTCTCCACATTATTCAAGTCAAAAGCTAGTTGATGCTTCTTTTGATCGTCCTTCGATCCATTAGACGCATAATAATTATTTATATATGATTTGATTCTGAGTACATTTTGTTTACCTTCGTAGAAAACAAAAATAACTTATTTCATTGTCAATTTCTATTAAATCGTCTCCACATTCATCACTCTGATTACTCATCTTTAAAAAAGCTTTTGAAAATCGCACTAGATTATTTTTTCCCAATGGAATTCAAAGTGTAATTGTTACTTCGCCAATAAATGAATTATTAATTAATAAAAATCACCATCATTGAAGAAAACATTACCATGGAAGACTCCACGAAGTCTATGCACAATACCATGAAACAAAAAAGTTAAACCTACAAAATGTTATTCTTTCCCAGCCAATTGGCTCGACTTCAATTTGGAAATAATGTACCCTCCACATTATTCAAGTCAAAAGCTGGTTGATGCTTCTTTTGATCCTCCTTCGATCCACTGACACATAATAATTTACTCTTTATATATGATTTAATTTCGAATACACTGTGTTTACCTTCGCAGAGAACAGAAATAACTTATTTCATTGTCAATTTCTATTAAATCGTCTCCACATTCATCACTCCGATTACTCATCTTTAAGAAAGCTTTTGAAGGCACTAGACTATTTTTCCAATGGAATTCAAAGTGTAATTGGTTAAAAAAAAAAAAAAAAAAAAAATTACTTCACCAATAAATGAATTATTAGTGTATAGAAATCATCATCATTGAAAAAAATATTACAATTCTAAATGACGTCACAATCCAGAATCCACTATCCCTTAGACCAAGTTGGAGGGTTGTCAAGCCACCTTCAAATACTTGTTGGTTGGTGTGTCTCATCGGCCATCACGATGGTACAAGTTGATAAATCGACTCTATATAAAAAGGCTAATGATTATGTAAATGCATATTTATGATTACAAGCTATGAATGTTGGAATAAATCCGTATGATACAACCATAAGAGTTCATAGAACGCAATAATGTAAAGAAAGTCTGCAAATATGGATTAAAGTGGCATCAAGATCTTGGAACAAGAAATTCGATGAGGTAATTAAGACGTTTGACTCCGATCAGAAATTTGACAAACCCAATGTGAAGATACATGATAAAATTGTGTTTTTCTTGGTGTTTTTATATAGATGATATTCTACTCGTTGGAAATAATGTTGGAGCGTTATATGATTGGCCTAGGTATGTTCTATGCATTCAAATCTTAAAAAGAACACGCTCACGACTCTGTCCTAAGCTTTATATATTGACAAGACATTTGTCAAATGTGCCATACAAGATTATAAGAAATATTAGCTTAATTTATGGGAAAGTGAGCTTTGCTAATAAAATAAAGTGCGTGAATTGGAACATATTTTCATTTATTTAAACTAATAATAGTTCATAGCAGTGATACACAAACAGACAGTTATGCCAAAGAATAAGTGTAACTAATACATCCTATGAAGTTCTTCTTCCATATCTTCTTTTCATTTCCCCCTTTACAGAGAGTTTTACAATTAAATTTATATATCAGTACCTGTGATTTGAGTTCATTATATCAACTCCACAGATTCATAGAATTTAGTCATCCAATGATGTTATTACAAAATCCTGCAGTGCAATGAGTTTCGCCTGTCCTCCGTACTCTTCCGGCAAGACTTCTTCACCAACATTTCTAATAAATTCTCTTCTTTCCTCTTCATTGGTTACAATTACAATCTGTACAAATTGCCAAAATAAAGTTATCTCAGGAATTCATAAAGCGAAAAACACATATCCGAAAGCAGTAAAACTCTTGCCAGTTCATTAATATGATCAGATTTTGCCATACTTGTACTTTATATTGCTAAACTGAATTGAATCAGAGGGCATACTTGATTTTGCACGGTGTGTGTTCGTGTGCACACATCTGTAAACTACGTTTCCAAAGTATTTTTTTTTTTTTGTTTTTGCAAAATCTATATACCAAATGTACCTTTTCGAAAGTAGCCTTCTCAAGGAAGCGGGAAATAAATCTCCAAATACTCACAAAAAACCGGGGCATATTTAACAGGTAGCATTTGGCCAGGCGCTCAGGATAGTACGCCTATACCGAGAAGAATGTCAAATTGAAATTGATAGTTAGATCAAATTTAAACATCTATATAAAATGAGATAGATCTTCAGAATAAGTACTGCCTCAGGAAAACAGCAGTTCATGGAAAATCAATATTTCAGACTAAAAACCACCAGATGATTTTAGCTAGCAAAGCATCAGTCAAGTCCCATGCAACAAGAGTCTAATAAAGGTTAAGTACCAACTTTAGTACGAATAAAATTACATTTATGCCTAAGTAAACTGCAATTCAACTTCTAAGAAATACTACGTGATGCTTAATTCTGATCAAGGGATGAACTACATGAATACGACAAGGATCAATAAAGTTAGCAAGCAGCTCAATTAGCAACCTGTAATGTTTACAAATTACTGAAAATGATTGGTTGCAATATACTATTGATTTACCTCGTCCAGCATGTGTTACCCTTCTTTATGAGAAAAAAATAATGTTGAGTATCACATTGCAAAACTTGGGAACTGAGTTGATAAAATATCAAGTTCGTTTAGGAATCCTCCATATACGTTGCTTAAAAATTGTCTT